TCGATGGGGGTAGAGGACACATTTCTTGGCATTCCCATTCTCTTGATTTCGGCACATTTGATTTATGTGAGTGACTTAAGGGGAGAGCCCCAGGTATGCAAACGACAAAGTGTTCTACTAAAACAAGGAAAATGTATGACACTTCAGCTACAGTCATCCAAGATATGTTGAAACGCACATGGCAGTATCTGCAGAAAGGCAACATTTATTAACAGCTACAAATGATAACATATCAAAATAATACACCTAAAATAAATCAATTTGTACTATTATCAAAGCCATTATTTGTTCTGTTCTTCTCTCTTCCCGTATTGAATAAATATTTACAATAAATATTGAAATATTAACGTTTTCTACGTAATTTGCACTAAACAAATTGTAACTACCAGTTTCGTCGTCCTGTTTGTAATTTTAACATGGTTCTTCCATATAACGTGTTTTGCTTCACGAATGCGCCTATAGCACGCATAATAACGACCTTGCCTTCAATTACGCCAATATTTCTTAACCACCCAGTTATTAGTTATGCTACGAATTTCAGCAGTATCACTTCCTGCAATAGCACCGCTTTCCACTTGGAGCGCACACACACACAATTAACGTAATATATGGACAGACGGTCTATTAAATCCGAATAAGAAGTTACTTAACAGAATACTCAGCGTCTGTATTATGTTATTTAAATTCACCGTTTGCGATCCTTACTTTACATGCTAATTGTGATAATATCAAGAAGGTTGATATGAATGAGACATGTAGGTCGCATGGGGTACAAAAGGAAATTTAAATACGTGAAACTCGTACAATTGCTGCGAAAACTACAGGGCTGGTGGCAGCTTGAAGACGTTGAAGATAGGGAAATACGATGGGAAGATGTAAACTGGATTGAACTTGCTCACACTGAGATTTCGGATTCCTCAAATGCAGTAAATTTCGTGAATAACAATCACATAATCCTAGGAAAATCTCTTGTCAAAAAAGGCTATTTATTCAAAAAGATTATTCGTTAATAAGGCATTGCGCAAATATCAGAAGTCTTTGGAATACTTTCTAGATCTACCAAGAATATGTCTAGTAATATAAATCAAACAATTCTAAGCAGTATTTGCCACAGTCTAATATGCAATTTTTTCACCAAATACCTCCAAAAGAATGACTTGCACATTATCGTACAAACGCTAAAGTTTTCGATAATAGCTCGTAGAATAAAAAACATCACAGTATTTAAATTGCGAATATAATGGCCAATCGATCTTGTAGGAGATATTCGGATCGAATAAGTGTGTCTATATTAAAATAAACATGGTAGGCCTACTTTAAGCGTTACAATATTGTGCTTATGTAAATTACATTTAACATGAACGTACGTTTTCCTGCTCCTAGTACGTGGAAGACAGCGACAGAAGTTTAGAGATGCAACGCAGACATCTGTGGAACACAACTGAAGCCAATTTACTCGTATAAAATGAATTCTATTCCTTCTTCAACCAGAGAGTGGGGGATCAGACACAACTTTCACCTTCTCTACTGCCCTGGACTCCTCTCGGAGTCTTCTTAAGTGGTTTGGTCGAGTAATTATCATTGGAGATTTCCAGAGTTCTTGATCTAATTAGTAGAAAATCGCGTCACTTTCAATTGTAAGTGATACGATATAACGTTGGTAATATTACACTTCGCGCTCATCTTTCGCCATATTTATACTGAATATTTAAGTCTCATCTTCTTACATATTAACGCCAATACTTCATATTATTGTTAATGATTTATACATGACAATGAGACAGAGAAGGTGGGAATACGATCACTCAAAGACTTAGAAAGAGATAGAATTATAATATTAATATGAATGAGACATCAGGTTCTCACGGCGGTAAGTACGAAGATGGCTGCTTTATCGTTGTAGCGCCGTGTAGCATGGCAGAATTTTACCATCGGTTTAGAGGTCCTTGCTTCCTCCATCATCAGGGATCACTGCTCTGATTATGGATGTAGTAAGTACCACTGAAACGTCGGTAAACTTTTACCATCGGTTTAGAGGTCCTTGCTTCCTCCATCATCAGGGATCACTGCTCTGATTATGGATGTAGTAAGTACCACTGAAACGTCGGTAAACTTCTACCAGAATTTTCGGTGCAAGAAAACAGAAGACAGCCATCTTCATTAAGATGATCTTAGAGAAATATATTGTGAAGGTAAGATACTGACGGAATTGGCTAATGATCATGCCAAATGGTTGGCTGTGGTGTTGAACCTAACTACTCTAATGTCAAGAGAGTTAATTAATTATTACTGTGTTGAGAATATTTGGATGCAAAAAGAAGTAAGAAGAAGAAGGACAATTTTACACAATGTGGAGCTTCCTGATTAACATATCCTACCTGGTCTACTATTGTTAGGATTATTAAATCAAAGAAGATAAGATGGGTGGGAAGAGTAACACACAAGTGCGATGAGAAATGCATGTAAAATTGTAGTCAAAAAACCTCAAAACAAAACACAAATTAACTGTTGCCCACTGGGGCTTGACGCTCGGTACAATCATTAATATCAGAACTGTTAGAAACAGCAGTGCAATAAACGAATCGTCTTCTATGCAGACCTTGTACGAAACAATCAAATTGCGACCTCACCGTCTGTCATGAATCACGGTCTTAAATTCTACAAAAAATACAACGACCAAGAAGGCGGTGGGCATATTCCCACGTAGTACAACCCAGCACGCGCACGATTTAAAGCGAAAAAGCGGTGCGGACAGATGAAAGACTTCACTTCCTGAAAACACCATAGAATTGGGTAGTATCATGTCATTCCGTGAGGTATCTACATAAACAGAGCTTTAACACGAACTGGTTATTATTAAAACAGATGAAAAAGATTAAAACCAGACGCGTTTCGGTCTAAGAGGCCATCATCATCACTGAACAGTCCAGCAGCTACATCCGCTCAACCTTGGTGGCTTGGCCTTAAGTGTGAAGTTAAAATCAACATGTTGCAGTTGAAAAATAGAAACCGTGATCGACAATTACATAAATCTAAACATCCACTGGCTTACGTTTGCATATAAGCACTTACATCACCATTTTGAGATATTTTACTTGCTCGAAGCTCGAGTCACACTGAACTCGGAGGCTGGAGAAGTCCATCTACACACGTTGCTTTTCTTTAATCGCGATTAACTTATATATAGAAGGGTCTTAACTAAAAAGTAGTTTATAACGATATTATTTGCAAATATAAATGTCTGTAGTTCGGGGGTTGGTATGAATTTGTTAAACATAGACATACTAGTAACTAGGAACGTCATATGGAAGATCTCATTAAACATAAAGGAATTTACTTCCGTATGGTTGGCTACGTGAGGAATTGGGTAGCCACCTTCGTGTTTCAGACAGAGAGTATGTGTTATCACTGAAATGGTCTGTCTCCCACACGTTATCCCTTTACCGATACTAATTCTTTAAAGCACAGTGGCAACTATATGTACCACCTGTTTTAATAATCAATATCTATATCTTGTATTTAATAGTTTTGTATTATTCTCATCGTAAACAGGGTTTACTTCCTTCAACAGAATTAACTAGTAAATCTTTGTAATGGTGAAGTATCGTGTTTTCTTTGCGGTACGGACTGAATTATGAAATATTATTGAAGACAAGGCGAGGGACAAATGGGTTAAATGGATGCTACGGCTACCTTTGATACTTCAAACGCATTACCACCTAGTATCGAGAATTATTTAAAATTATAATTCTGATCCTGGTGTATTCTGTTATTACGATGGTCCCTACGTAATTGCATTTTGTGAGTTGGTCCTGTTAGTCAGCATTATTATTATTATTATTATTATTCAGTGTTCTGTCTGACGACAGGTCCATTGCTCTGCCCAAAACGAGCTCTCCAGTTTTCCCTATTCTCAGCTTCTCGTTTTAATTTCTGGAACTTCATCTTCTTTCCTTGTTTCAGATCGTCGGTTAGCTGTGTCAGTCTTCTTCCCAGTCAGCATGCGTACGGTTAAATTCATCATTAAAAGCAGTTTCTTTTAAGATCACGTATGCAGCAAGCAGCAAACTGGTCTGTCACGTTATCCTGCGTTCACTTGTATTCATTTAGATTGGGAGCTTTATTTTATCAATATAAACCACGACAGGTCCAATTCTATATTAAATGTGCACGAGAACTCAAAGTTATCTTTACAACTGTGTTTGTACATTTAAAGTTGTCCCTGTACCCGAGCACCATGACTAGAAGCAGTCATCAGATAGATATTAGCAATATTTAATTCTTCTCTCGGAAGGTCATTTCAAAAGAGTACGGTGAGGTCCGTGAGTTGGAATAATTGCCAACTGATAATCTATAGATTGTAGAGAGTACGAGCCACATGCGATTAGGCAGTACACACTGCCATTGTTCTCGTGTAAGCAGAGCGTTTCAACTCACCACTTACGTAATAGGTTTCCTCTATTATTTTTTCTTTCATTTTGAAAAATGACCTCGTTTCTCAGATAGTCAGAGGAATATCTTCCAGAAATTAACTTTGACTTCCGAAACATCTCATTTTTCAGATTCGTAAGTCCTAATAACGTATCTCGATAATTCTGAATTCAAGCGGTAAACTTACACACGATATAAACCAAGTTCACAATGTAGGGCCGTCCTTGAAGGGCTTGTAGTTAATCAGAGGTGGTGAGGAGTTTGTGCTTTTATGAGGTATATTTATTTCAATTAATTCAATAAACTATAGCTGATGTGTCAACTCCGTTCGAATCCCTCCTCGCTCTTTTTTTTTTTGGTCTCCCAAGTTCCCGTTTCTAGACGCTTATTTTGTTATAAATACCTGAATTGTTTTGTTTGATTTAATTTGTTACAGACTGTAGGAAATGAGGTCGACGTGGCCTCCAATGACATACCGTTCATGTCAAGTTTCATGGAAATCCGCCCAGTGACTGATTTGAAACACGTGGATAGACACGTTCACGTATAAATGCGTTTGCTTTACGCACCTTGCCGTACTGCTGGCTACTGGTGGAAGTGTTGGATGCCCAGTGTCCTGTCTCCACCCTAGCGTGCTCCAGCATACCAGTGACGCTGTCCACGCGCGACCATTCCTTCACGTTGTGCCGCTGAAAAGGCATGGACCCGCTGCCCCCAGATCTCGATGGAATCACCTCCATTTCTGCTCTGCTTCACTCAGCTGATGAAATTCCCACATCGACCATGTCATTGTTAGACGGTGACACCTGCCTGAAAAAACAAATTAAAATACCTCAAACGGAAGCAAAGAGCTAACCAAGGGCTGGAGATCGGGGTTTATTTCTCGGAAAGGAACAGTTTTTTTTTATTTTGCCATCACACAGCCTCTAGGAGTTAAATGGCCGGACCGTGAAGCTTCAACTCAGCCCGATGTGAAGGTCACAGAATGCGAAGAGCTTGCATATGATACGTCTTACGCTAACTGTCACGTCCTGTACTTTCTGGTGGAAAGGCACATATACAAGATACAGAGAATAGTTGTGACTGTGTAATAAGCTGTTGCGAACCGCCGACAAGAGGTGATCATCCAATCTGAAGAACTCAACGTGCGGAATAAACAACCCTCAGCGAAAAAAAGAATGTATATTACTTCGTGGCACGACCTAAGAACGTAAAATGCAAAGGATAATCACCACAACATAAATATTACATAAACAGAATGTGAAGATCTGAACTCAAACCAATTGTCAACAGTCGACAGCTTCCTTCCGAGTCCTTATCTACTAAACAATCATAACACAGTCGGATGATTATATAACATCTGCAGTTGAACAGCTTAGTTCAATATTCTGTGAGTTTATATTACAATTATCACATTATGGCAGTGGCGGCTCGTGAGTCTGAGCAACGGTAGTGCTGCGTAAGGGGAAAAAATCAGAACAGTATTTCAACACATAACAATACAAATAAATGAAAAGTAAATTTACATCAGGAGAAAACGTATACGTGATCGACGGTGTTTTAACAATTTGAAAGTTCGGAAGCGGGAGGCCATGATTTTTTACAACATTTTTCACTCAAAGACAATTTATAAACAGTAATTTGCCGTAACTATAATACACTTCCTTTGCTCATTAACATTATCAGAACAAAAAATGGTCAGCATACAGAATTATTGAACACTCATTAACAATAGCCACTCAACAGTTTGTGATACAGAAACTAGTCTAAAACACGTGGTACCGGGCAAGGGTGTTTACTATAAGCCGGCTGCGGGAACTGCAGCTCCGATACGCGCTGTACAAGCGAACTGCCCCTCACTCCACCGCCCGCAGCGCTCTATAAATTTGAACGGCTAGACGCGCTGAAAATCTAGCAGGCGGATGATAGCCCCGTTCTGCTTCCCACTCCTCAACCGTGGACTTACTATCAGTTCAGCCGATTAATGGATAATGACAACGTAAGGGGCAATATTAAAATAATGATATATAGGAAATAAAGTTTTACAAAAATTTTATACACAAATAATAAATTTTTCAATTTTTGAAAAATTATAGGGGTTGCTGCAGCTCTGCATGATGGTTATAATAAACTTTAAATTGTAATGTATATCGGGGCTGCATGTGGCACACTGGTCGCCTGTTTACCATCCCTGATAAGACGATTTAAGTGGTTAACTGGACTGGAACATTGGGAACAGAGCAGTCTACCACCACCACCACCACCACCACCAAGCGATCGGGATGTGCTCCACTGAATGCGAGAGCACCAGAAACAAACAGCTTCTTGCGATGATGAAAGTTAATTCCAAATTACGTTTACATTTTGTGTCCGTGGACTGGCACTAACATGGCTCAAGAGGTAAGTAGGACAGAAACAACAACTGCGGAAAATATCTTTAGTTTATGCTTCTTTCGTCAAATTACTGTTAGGAACTTTAAGACACGCGAAACCTTTCTTAAGATGGCTGTCTTCTGGGTTGTTGCGCCGTGTAGTCTGGTAGACGTTTACCGACGTTTCAGAGGTCCAAGCTGCCTCCATTATCAGGGCGATGATGGTCAGATAACTGGTCTAAATGTAGAAATAAAAATAGATCGAAGAGTAATAGAGTATCAAAGAGTGGACTGAATTAGCAAGCAAAGGAGAGAGGAGGGTCCAATGGTGTGAACAAGGTAATGAAGCGGAGAAGTTCTTGTCCAGCTAAATAAGCAAATTTTCAAGAAATATTCTGTTCCATGAAATGACCAGTATATATAACAATGCTCTCTTTTAGGCGCTGTTGAAGTCACACTATTATTATTATTTTTATTATTACGTAGAAATTAGAACCTACACACAAAAACAAAGCTTTAAACAATAACACCTAACCAGTACAGATTAATTATTAATACAATTTTGAAAAGGAAGAAGTGCCTTTGGCCTAATCGTGCACGTGCACAGTTCTAATATGTCAGTGGTTCCATGAAGAGCGCAATGGACGAAATACTGGGAATCGGGGCGTAACAAGAACCCACACGCCATTAGCTCACACACAAACACTCCCACACCCTGTCAGCCCTTTGTTGTTTTAATAGGGTTCCTTTTGTGCCAGTGAACTTCAAGCCAGAAAACACAAATATGCAAATGATTAGATAATAGTATGTTATATAGCCAAAATGCATGAAACTATTATGCCTAAAAACTGTAACGTCACAGGGGAGGTCTCTATAACCACGTTCCAAATAACAAATCCTGTGGCTGTCCGAGTTTCTTTCGAAATGTGACAAAGTTAGCCAAATTACAACAAATGAGACTGTGTTAAAATCCCATCTTTAAACCCAGATATTGACATACTCCGATTTACAAGTTCCTTGTTTGCCTGTTTTTGAGTCATCGACTAAACGTGTAACTGATGGGAGGTGGGGGAGGGGCGGTGTCTCGCCTAAGAATTGTCAATCGAATTTGACGTTCGTCAATACTGGATAGATATAACCCTACCTTACATGAAGCTCAAATCAGACCATCATATTCTCTCAAAATGACATTGTATAAAGAAACGACATGTAACTAAAAATGAAGACCTTGATGAGCTCTACAGCTTTGAGGATCTATAACTTTATGCATTATAATAGGCCTATTTGTAACGTCACATAAATTTATAATCTGTAACAATATATTTATTTGTATCTGCCATGGGCTATATGAACATAAGGTCAAAGCGGTATAGAAGAGGCCCCATTTGGAAAATATAAGTAAGCCCAAGTCCATTGATTGATTGATTAATTAATTGCCTGATTCTTGGTTTGTTAAACAAAATTTCAACTGCCTAGTTTATGTAATCTAATGGTGGGATGACTTGTTAATCATGAATCGAAAAAGACGTGGCTGGAAGCTGTCGTTGCATATTTTAAAATACAGTCTTGGATTAACATGAATGGGCTGAGGAAAAGCACAACAAATGCAGTCAAGATTCCACACCGAGAATTTAGCCCAGAGCCTCTCGAGTGAGAACTAGGAGTGTTCTCCACTCTTGTTTAAATAGAAAATACTGGATAGAGAATAAAATAGACATGCCATATGGGCCGACGCAAGGAAAGTAGCGGAACTGGCTGGCATGCTTTTGCCATTAACTAAACATCGTATGGGTGTCAGTGCAGGTGTTTTGCGGACCGCGGCTCAAGTATATCGCCTACATAATAACAACCTGGAGGCGTCTGGTTGGCCACCATTCTAAGAAAAGAGATGACATGTTCCCTCCATTATGGCCTTGTTTCACCAGTGAATGAGTAAACAAAGGACAATCGCGACTTCAACGACTAAACCGTTAAAAATTAGAGAAGAGACTTCAATGCGTGTATAAACAGATAACCGTTACATGTGAAGACACAGTGAACAGAAACTTTAACCGGGTCTCTAAGCACAGAGTTCGAAAGACGAAGTGGATGCACTTCTCTCACAGTTTGAATATAAATGAAACTGGCTGGTCCCTAAATCCTTTCAAGACACTGTTCCAGCTGCAGAAGATATATAATGTTGAATATGACGGAAAGAGATAACGGTGAACAGACGAGAATTTGAGACACGCGGTAGTGGCCAAGGATGGATGAGGAAAACCACAAAAACTATCAGTCCAGCCGAGATTCGAAGTGGGTAACGCCAGAACAGACATAAAGAGGTGCCCTAAGATGGAAGCACTTGCAACAGAATACTTCATTTTACATCAGTTATGGCTACGATAAATTTAATAAAATATATGACACAAAATAAGCGAACTGATAATGGTGGTTGGTACAACTTTGTTTTATAATGCAAGAACAAATCTAACCTTTGGGTAGCCTGATACACTAAGACAATACTTTATAGCAACACTTCCATCTAATGTGGCTTATTCGGAGCCTGGCTAGTGGAAAAGCCGGATCTGGATATTAAACTACGCCCATTAAAGCCATACAAGTTGGTTAAGAAGCACATTACTCTCTTAATTGTGTTACTACATTGTGTTTGAGTGAGGACAAAGGCATGTGGGAGACAACACGTACGATGCATTTTCAAAATGAAAATACAACCAAAAAGAGAGTCACAGCTCAATTCTAATTATCCGGAAATGTTTGTAGTGTTTTTAATGAATCCAGCTTGTAAACAAATATCTAAAACACGTGTCGTTCTCGTAATGAAATATGGACTACCGAATGGCGATATTTAGACATTAATATGGTTTCTCATCATTTTTAAATCTATCTGATGCATTTTACAATAAAATATTGCCTTCAAAAAAAAAAATATATTTGTGAAGAAATAGAAGTTTTGGATCTCGAAAGAAATAATCCGCAATAAATTTCAATAGGACTTTTCCACTACATATTTTTCCAACGATTCATCCGTAAGTGCAGCGAGTTCCTTGAAGACTTGAGTTGTACCGACTACGCATAACATATTCAGAACCAGGGAAGTTCCAAGTTCAAATTTACGCAATTTGATCGACCGAACGTAGAAAGATTTTCCTCCTTACAGTTACTGTTGCAATAGGATGAAACTATATATCTGTGAAACTGGGCCTTACCCGGATAATATATGCGCATGGGGCAATAGTGGAATGACACTGCAGGGTAAAACAAGATGACTAAGAGAAAAACCTGTCCCAGTGCCACTTTGTCCACATATCCCACATGTGCTGACATGGACGAGAACCTGGTCGTTCGGGGTGAAAAGCTGGCGACCAACTGGCGACCCTCTTCCTCCTTACTTATCAATAAGCAATTTCCTACTCAGCTGTGGCCTGTATGTAATACTGG